TTTTTTTTAATAACGTCTCACTGGAGACAGGGCTGGAGTACAGTGGCACAGTCTTGGCTTACTGCAACCTCCAAAGCGATTCTTAAGTCTTAGCTTCCCAAGTAACTGGGATTACAGATGTGTACCACCATGCCTGGCTACTTTTTATATTTTTAGTAGAGACAAGGTCTCCCCATGTTGGCCAGGCTGGTCTCTAAGTCCTAGCCTAAGTGATCGACCTGCCTCAGCCTCCCAAAGTGCTGGGTTTGTAGGTGTGAGCCACTGTGCCTGGCCTCAACTACACTCTTAAGATTTTAATACGATATCTTATTTTGTTTGTTGGGCTTTTGTTTTATTTTTCAGTCACCTTGAAAGAAACTGGGATGCAAAAGAAATTTTTTTTATTTTTAATCATGAGTTATTTATCTTCCTATTTTTTCCTGTCAAGTTGTTAAATGTATCTTACCTTTTTTTTTTCTTAATTTTAAGGTTGAGTGAAAAAATGTACATTTACTTGGATTCCGATGTTAATTATTAGTTATTTGTACTTAGACTTAAATATTTAACAATGCACCTCAGATGTGCCCAGAACTATAAAATGACACTTTGTAGGAACTAATTTTAGGCTATACTTTTTAAATCACAGAGCATGGAGGCTCTACATTTTATTGGGTACAATGCACAACTATTTATTACAGTGGAACTTTGTTATCTAAATAAAAGCCGCCTTTCATCTTGTGAGTGTTTGGAGGGCTTGGGTTTTTATTTAATTATTTTTTAAAGACAAAGTCTCACTCTGTCACTCAGGCTGGAGTATGGTGCCACAATCATAGCTCACTGTAGCCGCAATCTCCTGGGTTCCAATGGTCCTCCTGCCCCAGCCTCCCAAGTAGCTAAGACTACAGGTGTGTACCACCATGCCTGGTTAATTTTTTCATCTTTTTGTAGCAACAGCAACAAGTTCAAGACCCACGCTGGTCTTGAACTCCTGACTTTAAACCATCTTACCACCTCAACCTCCTGAATGGCTGAGATTATAGGTCTGTGCCATCGCACCTGGTTTGATTTGGAGGTTTTTTTTCTTTCCCCCATTTTTTTCCCCTTCACAATACAGAGACATATTTAACCACCAGATAATTGAGAGTTGTCTGATTTTCATAAATTTATGTTTGTTCATGATTCATTAAAGTAGCTTTAGTAGCAGATCAAGATATAAACCTTTACAAGATCAATTTGTAAACCTTTAAAACATTTGAGGAGATTTTTTAAAAAACTTTTTTGTTTTGTTTTTGAGACAAGGTCCCACCAAAACTTTTTTGTTTTGGTTTGTTTTGTTTTGAGACGGAGTCTCACTCTATCACCCAGGTTGGAATGCAGTGGCATGATCTCGGCTCACTGCAACCTCCACCTCCCGCGTTCAAATGATTCTTCTGCCTTAGCCTCCTGAGTAGCTGGGATTACAGGCGTGTGCCACTATGCCTGGCTAATTTTTTGTATTTTTAATAGAGATGGGTTTTCACTATGTTGGCCAGGCTGGTCTTGAACTCCCAACCTCAGGTGATCTGCCCACCCCGGCCTCCGAAAATACTGGGATTACAGGTGTGAGCCACTGTGCCCGACTTGTTTTGTTTTTGAGACAGAGTCCCACTTAGCAGGCCACCACACCCAGCTAAGTTTTGTATTTTTTGCAGAGACACAGTTTTGCCATGTTACCCAAGCTGGTCTTGAACTCCTGAGCTCAAGCTATCTATCAGCCTCAGCCTCAAAGTGCTTGGATTACAGGCATGAGCCACTGTGTCCAGCCCAAACAACTTTTTAATTAGAAATAATTTCAAACTTACAGAAAAGTTGCAAGAAATAGAATAGTTCATAGATCATTCATATACCCTTTACCTGATTCACATATTAACATTTTACCGTTTGCTGTATTACTTTACATCTCTATATGTTTGCACACTTTTTTCCTGAACCATTTCAGAGCAAGTTGCATATTTTGAGGGTTTTTCCCCCAATATTAATGACAATTCTGGGATGATTATCTTCAAACTTTAGTGACTAAGAGCACAGTCTCTGAAGCTAGACTATTCAAATTCTGGCTCCACTACTTACTGTGACCTTGGATAAATTACTTAACCTTCCTAGGCCTCAATTTGCCCATGTATAAAATGGGAATAATATCATTTACCTAATAAGGTATTTGTGAGGATTGTGTCAGTTAATACTTCTAAGACATGCTTATGACAACAGTGTCTGATATACTGAGGGCCCTATAAATATTAGTTCTGCTTTAATTTTTGTTGTTTTGGTTTTGAGACAGGGCTTGCTCTGTTGCCCAGACTGGAATACAGTGGTGCAATCATGGCTTCACTGCACCTTCAACCTCCTGGGCTCAAATGATCCTCCTGCCTCAGCCTCCCAAGTATTTGGGATTACATGTGTGCACCACCATGGCCAGCTCATTTTTTTGTTTTTTATTTTTTGTAGAGACAGGGTGTCACTTTGTCGCCCAGACTGATCTCGAACTCTTGGCCTCAAGCTATCCTCTCACATCAGTCTCCAAAAGTGTTGGGATTACAAGTGTGAGCCACTGCGTTTTACCCTACTATTGTTTTTAGTCAGTTAATTCCTTCAGGTATAATTATAGAGTGGGGTATTAGTATGCATTTAAAAGTTTGATTTTAAATCCAAGTTCCCAAACTTTCATCAGATACTTGGTACCCATTAATACTTCTTTAAGTGGCGTATTAGAGCTAGTTTTTGGCTATAAGTTATTTCTTACTGCCTGGGATAGTCTGGAGTAGATATACTGCTGTGACTATCAAAGTGATTTTCTTGTGTTTGAATTAGGTTACAGATTATGCCATTGCCAGGCGCATAGTAGATTTGCATTCAAGAATTGAGGAATCAATCGATCGTGTCTATTCCCTTGATGATATCAGAAGGTATCTTCTCTTTGCAAGACAGTTTAAACCCAAGGTAACCTACCCTTTTGCACTTGGATAAGGTAAAATGGGTATATTAAAAGTGGAATTTAAATAAGTGTGTTATATGGAAATTAACTGAACCTGTCATCTACCTTAATTCCTAAATTTTACAGCTTTTTTTATTTTTTTCTGGAACTGCAGTTGTTTTTTCAGGGGGCCGAGAAAGGGAACTTTTAAAAAATCTGAATAATTCCATGGTTTGTTTGGTGGTAATAAAAAGGTTTTTATGAGAGAAGAGTTTTCGATAACTGGATAACCTAGGACATTCTTTTATTTCAGTCATTGCTAAGAACCTTAAAATTGTTTATGTGCCTATAAATCAATAGTCTGCTGAATACTCTTGAATCTTTGTTTGAGGAAAATATTGGATTCCTCTAGCCCGTTATGATGAATATGAATTACTCTTTTACAGTGATTGATGTATTGTATTTGACTGACTGTCCTGGACCCAGGTGATCCTGGACGTAAACCCTGAAATGCTTTGCATTTTCCAAAAATAGGGTATGAAACGGAAAAAAATTATTTTATTCTGGTTGAGATTTTTACACTGTTGGCTGACTTGACTTTTGGGAGGTATTACTAGGTATTGATTGATTGTTTATCATCTTCACTTGATTATTCATGGGATTGCGGTTGGCTCTTACTGTCCCTGAAGAAATTTAGCCATTTAAAACTAAGGGTTATGAGTGACTCTTGTGTAAAAAAATAGCATCTATTCCCCATGACTGCATTCTGATATACTGATCCTGTATCTTGGCATGCTTCCTTAATATGTTGAATTCCTTGCTCTGAAAAGCTGAGGATCCTTTAGATATAAAGTTTATTGAAACAGCTTTTTTCCCCCCAAAGACAGCGTGAGTTAATTAATTGAGCCTCAAGGATAGTTTGAGCATTAATTTGTTTAATGAGCATTGACATCCTGAGGTGTAAAAGACCTTCAGCTTGTTAAGCAGCTTTTAGAAATGGTCATTTGCTTAAATACTAAGCCTGTCTTCATGTTCATAAAATTAGTATCATGGAATTCACAGGCCTTCTTAGTATTAGTTTCTTTTGAAAGGCATTTCAGTAGTAATTTATTGTCACTGGCTTCTCAGAGTTTCATCCCTCTCAGTTTTCTAAATGTTTCCAAATGGAAGGCTCTTAAACTTATGTTTACCATAGCTCTCATCAAGTAGAAATGTTTCTCTAACTTGAGTGATGATCTGAAACAGATTTCCAAAGAGTCAGAGGACTTCATTGTGGAACAGTATAAACGTCTCCGCCAGAGGGATGGTTCTGGAGTGACCAAGTCTTCGTGGAGGATTACAGTGCGACAGCTTGAGAGCATGATTCGTCTCTCTGAAGCCATGGCTCGGATGCACTGCTGTGATGAGGTAACAGAGTCACTTTGATGAGAGCAGAGAGAAACGGATTTATTGCCTTGTCGGCATTTTAAAAATCTTTGGTATGGGACGTAGTAGAATTTGCTGCAGATACATTTTTATATAACTGTTGCATGCTCATAGGATCATGGAATTCTTCCCTTTAAAAAGCTCGTTAAGCATTTGAGTGTAATTGTTAGACTGCGATGATCACGTCATAGGTTATAGAGTGCATAAAGAGGTAAGTTAGCATTAATACCTTTCATTCAGGAAAAATGTACTTAGACCCCGCAATGTACTAGTAGGCCTCCGCGCTGGCAATACAGATAAGATAATGTAGCCCCTGGCCTCAAAGGAACTTTCCTCCTTAGGTTGCATTTATATAATGTATGCTTTTTAGACTGTTCTTTGAGCCTTGTGTTCCACGAGGATAGGTCAATGGGTATTAACTGGGTAAGAGGGGAGTAGTACGAAAGGTCATTCAAGCGTCCCGTCTTTGCTTCAACCAAAGCAGCCCTGCTTTTGTGTAGTTTTATTAATAGGTTTGATGTAAGGTTTTCTTTGAAAAGGGGATTTGGCTTTTTTTACAGTATGACTGAGGTATAATTTATAAAGAGGGAAATGTATGGCATGGTGAGTTTTTTCACATACATCCTTGTTACTACCCAGCTCAAGATCCAAAACATTTTCATAATTTCAGAAAGTTTCCCTGCCTCTTTTCAGTGTTAGCCCTCTTCTGCTAAAGTAACCACTGTTCTGACTTCAGTCACTACTTTTATCTCCCAGGTTAATTTTTTGGCTTTTTTTCCCTGAATTTTCAAATTCTTTGATATGGTGCTTTATTGTTGACAAAGTACTTTCACACTAACCTTATTTGATATTCTTTGATTCACCTAATATTTTGTCCCCCTGTAGGGGACAAAAAATGAATGAGAGCCCCTGCCTTCCATTCCTGCTAATCTGGTAGGAGCGAAACATGTATTTAATTAGGCATGTAAAAAATTGGAGTGAGTGATGAAATAATCTATATACCAAGCCCCCATGACACAATTTACCTATGCGACAAACCTGCGTGTGTACCCCCGAACCTAAAATAAAAATTGGAAAGAAAAAAAAAAACAATCAGAGGGAGAATATGATGGAGCATCAAAAGAAGAGTACGGAGATGAATTACTTTATTACCAGAGAAGGAGGAGGGCTCATGGAGGTGCCAACATTTAAACCCAGTCACTGAAAGGTGTGCAGAATTTGAATAGGCAAGAGACCTTGGGGCAAGGTCATTCTAAAACCATGCTAACATTTGTACTTTTTAAATAGGTAGTAAATTTACATGATACTAAATATATGCACGTAAATTATATGCACAAATTTATTTTATGAATGAAATTGAATATCTGCATATATTTAAGAGCTGTTTCTGTCTCATATGTTTATAATCTTCATTAAAAAAACTATTTTGTTAGAAAGGCCTTTCTCACTCTAAGATTATAAAAAATTCCCCCATTATTAGCTAGTTTTCTAGTTGTTCCAACACCATTTATTGAACAATCCATCTTTTTCACACTGGTTTGGCATGCCTTAATTATATATTCTTGTGTGTGTTAGGATCTCCTTTTGGACTTTATATTCTGTTCCACTGAGTCTTACCAGCTCCCCTTACGTTGGTACCATGATGTTTTAATCTCTGGAGCTTTGTAGTAAATGTAGGGCTAGTTCCAGTGCATTGTTATTTTTCAGCTGTAAGGAACTTAGAAATCACTTTGCTCTGTTTTAAAGAAAAACCTGGCGCTTTTTATCAGTATAACATTGAATTTATATTAATTTGAAGAATTGAACACATCTTTGATTTTTCCTATTCAATAGTATAGCACTTAGAATAGGTTAGGTTGTACTACCATAAAATCTCATCTGCTTCAAACACTTTTTTTTTTTTTTGCTTCTACTACACATCCATTAGGTCATCATGGGACTCACTTTGTCAAGTCACCCAGATTCAGGCTGATTTAAACGTTTGAGCTTGACATATGTTTTCATGATGACAGAAAGCAGAGAAGAGAAGGTGGTGAGCCACCTGCTGTCTTCACCTTTTATCCAGAAATGTCACATACTCACATTTCATTCACCGGAGAAATTAACATGGCCACCCCTAAGTTCAAGTGGATAGACAAATGCCTTCCTACCAGGTGCGCAGAATGAGAAGAGCAAATATTTGTGAACAGTTCTGACTACCACACATAGCATTATCTTTCCACTTAAGTCTTTAGTTTCACTCAGTAGTGTTTTAAGCTTTTCTTCAGATTTTTTTCATTTTTCTTGTTAAATTTATTTCTTGATATTTTGTCATTTTTGTTGGTACTGGAGGTAATTTTTCCATTTCATTTTCTGTCTGGTTTCATTGCTGTTTAACATGAATATGCCACAGCTTATTTATCCATTCTTCTGTTAATGAGCATTTCAAAGTTTCCAGTTTGGGTTTTTGTATTAGTCCATTTTCACACTGCTGATAAGAACATACCTGAGACTGGACAATTTACAAAGAAAGACTTAACAGTTCCATGTGGCTAGGAAAGCCTCACAATTATGGCAGAAGGCAAGGAGGAGCAAGTTACGTCTCACATGGATGGCAGCAGGCAAAATGAGAATGAGGAATATGCAAAAGTAGAAACCCCTAATAAAAACCATCAGATCTCGTGAGACTTAATTTACAACCACAGAACAGTATGGGGGAAACTATTCCTACAATTTAATTATCTCCCACTGGATCTCTCCCACAACATGTGGGAATTATGGGAGTACAATTCAAAATGAGATTTGTGTGGGGACACAGAGCCAACTATATCAGTTCTTATGGGATATGTATGTCTTTGGGTTCATATGAGATTTATATATGTTTATATTTCTACAAGTACATACTTAGGCGTGGAATTGTTGGGTTGTAGGTTAATGCATGTTTTTCTGCTAAACAGTTGTGTCGATTTTTGTTTTCACCTGCCATGAATGAGAGTTGTTTCATATTCTTGCCAACACTTGATATTGTCAGTCATTTTAGCTATTCTAGTGAATTTATAGTGCTATCTCTGTGTGTGAGAGAAAGACAATGAGAGAGGGTGTGTGTGAGAAAACCAAAGCACCACTGTCAGGAGTGTGTGTGTTTGAGAGAAAACCAAAATACATACTACTGTGATTTCATTGGGAAAAAATCTGTTTGGTATATCAAGAAATCTAACTTAACTGAATTATTTCATCATTATTGGTTTAGGTCCAACCTAAACATGTGAAGGAAGCTTTCCGGTTACTAAATAAATCAATCATCCGTGTAGAAACACCTGATGTCAATCTAGATCAAGAGGAAGAGATCCAGATGGAGGTGGATGAGGGTGCTGGTGGCATTAATGGTAAGATGTTTGTTCATGTGACTATTTGGGAGTTAGGGACCAAAACATTTTCTGAGATTTCATGTGGTAGAAGTACACCTGCTGATGATTAATAGTCTATAGTAGCAAAAACGAAAAAGCAGATCCTGAGTTGTATCAACTGTTTACAAGTTAAAATGAAATTAAATCATTGATATAAAATATATATACTTGAAAGACTGAAAGAAAAGGCACCAAAATGGTGATAATAGGCATAAATTCTCTGGCTTTTACCCTTATTTGTATTGTTTTGCTTCTGAATTAAAAAAATATTTTTAAGCACATTAGAAGTGAAAAATATTAGAATTTTTATTTATTTTGAGATGGGGTCTCATTCTGTCACACAGGCTGGAATGCCTTGGCACACTCACGACTTACTGCAGCCCTAACTTCCTGGGCTCAAGTAGTCCTTCTCCCTTAGCCTCTCTAATAGCTGGGACTATATGCTCATGCCACCACTCCTGGCTAATTTTGAAAAAAAAAAAAATTTCTGTAGAAACACAGTCTCACCATGTTCCCCAGGCCAATAGAATTTTTTATTTTGTATGTAATACTGCAAATGGACTTTCAGATTGTGAAATTTTTATATCTCTAATCCCTCATATTCCTCCTAAGTTAGTTTTTGTCTTTACTAGTAGAGTTTATAAATTTGCCTGTAATTTATTTGTAAATTATTATATATTGTGTGCTTGGTTTTTTTGTTTATTTGTTTTGAGACGGAGTTTTGCTTTTGTTGCCCAGTACAATGGTTCAAGCAATTCTCCTGCCTCAGCCTTCCAAGTGGCTGGGATTACAGGCACCTGCCACCACACCCAGCTAATTTTTATATTTTTAGTATACACAGGGTTTCACTCTGTTGGCCAGGCTGGTCTCAAACTCCTGACTTCAGGTGATCTGCCTACCTCAGCCTCCCAGAGTGCTGGGATTACAGCCATGAGCCACTGTACTCAGCCAGATTATTTCATTTTTCTCTTTTTTTTTTTTTGAGACAAAATTTTTTGCTCTTGTTGCCCAGGCTGGAATGCAATGGTGTGATCTCAGCTCACCACAACATCCACCTCCTGGGTTTAAGTAGTTCTCCTGCCTCAGCCTCCCGAGTAGCTGGGATTACAAGCATGTGCCACCACGCCTGGCTAATTTTGTATTTTTAGCAGAGACAGGGTTTCTCTATTTGGTCAGGCTGGTCTCAAACTCCCAACCTCAGGTGATATACCTGCCTCGGAGACCACCCACAGTGCTGAGATTACAGGCGTGCCACTGTGCCCAGCCTTTATTTTATTTTTCGTTTTTAGTTTTTGGCAGAGGAGATCATGTGAGAATGTATGCTTGTTTTAAAATTAGTATTAAGTCTGGGTGTGCTGGCTCACACCTATAATCACAGCACTCTGCGGGAGGCCGAGGCAGGAGGATCACTTGAGCCCAGGAGTTCGAGACCAGCCTGGGTAACATAGCAAAGACCTTGTCTCTAAAACAAACAAAATAATAATAATTTTTTAAAATGAAATATCAGTATTAAATATAAGTAATATATTTCTGAATGCTTGACAGGGGGATGTTAGGGGCACAAAAAACAAGATTCAGGTGGTTAATTTTTCACTTAGGTCATGCTGACAGCCCTGCCCCTGTCAACGGAATCAACGGCTACAGTGAAGACATAAATCAAGAGTCTGCTCCCAAAGCCTCCTTAAGGCTGGGCTTCTCTGAGTACTGCCGAATCTCTAACCTTATTGTGCTTCACCTCAGAAAGATGGAAGAAGGTAAGGCTTACCTGGTACTGCTTACATGCTCAGTCATTTGTGTAAGCTCTGTTCACATAGGCCACTTGTGATTGCCAAACTTTGTGTTGTTCTGTCAGAAGAGAGTATAAGTTGTTAGATAAATAAACTCACTTCAGCAAAGTAAATTTGTGGAGTATCAGCATCCTGCTAGCCTGAACATTTCTTCACAAGTTTATCAGGCTAAGGTTTATAGGTCCTTTTTAATTTAATTTAATTTAATTCAATTCAATTTAATTTAATTTTTTAAACATTCTAAGCCTATTTTAATAATTTTGGGACCTGATAACATACGAAAGAGCACATACAAACGTTTTTACAAATGCTAAATAATTATTCCCTTACAATGGTCCTATCCTAGGGTATATTTTAACAGTAATTAATTCAGCCCAGAAATCTATACTATCAAAAGGTCATTGCAGACTAGGTAAAATCCTCATCTAGTTATTAGTTAAGCGTGGCATCCAGACACTAGTACACTTCCTACCCTTGACTGCTCTATGATGCTATTTAAAATTTTATCACCCCGTAGTTAACTAAAAAGCAGAAGGAAAAATGGCGAATTCAAGACGTAGAACCTAAACTTCTACTTGATAGTGAAGCATCAGATCATTCTTACTTAAAAGTCCCAAGAATGACTTGTGCTGGCTTCCTGGAATATTTTGTCATCACAGTATTTGGTCTGCTGTGAAAGAAGAGAACAAGAAATTGTAGTTGCTGCCGTTGTTCCCCTGGGAACTGTAGACCAGTGGGAAGAGAGAAAGCAACAAAGTGGCCACTAGGACACCTCCGCTTTTGTCCCCATTCCTTTCTCACATAGAATGATTTGGAAACTCAACATGTTCTTGATTCATGTTATATGTCATAATTCTCTTTCTTCCTTATGCAACTAAGTTGTAAACATAGCAGAAGTTGAGTTTTATGATAGTTATGTTATCCAGGTCCCAACATTTCCTGTGTGTTGAGGGTTCTACCAGGACTTTCTAAAAGTCTGGTAGACCTTGGACTTGTTAAAAGAAGCCGACAGTCCAGTTAGTAAGGTAAACCTTGCAAAATAGATGGGTAATTTTTAATTTTGAGTGAATGCTTATGAATTTTACTTATTAGTAAACTCCAGTTCCATAAAGCCTTCCCCTTTCTACAGAGGAAAAGTAGTTATGTTTCAGAATTTTTGCTTGATGTTGCCTCATTCCTAATTGATGCTTTCAGTTTCTGTTGGAAAACATTCTTAGAAGTGGTGAAGCATAAGATGAAGAAAAGACCTTCATACTTTGAAATCCTAATAGCTTTAAGAAATGTATTCCTTATCATCTCTATTTTATTAGGTTTTTCTCCTTATGGATAAAAGAAGGCATACTTTAATACAAGTGATATGACGTGTTATTTCAGGCTTATGCTAGAACATTGTGGACCTTATGTCAGCAGATGTACTTTCGGACAGGTTGATGTTTATCTAATCTGTACATTATATTGTCGTATATGTGGCAGAGATTTAACCAAGGACTGACAGTACAATTTGCTAGAATAATTTAAATGTGTTTTTTGTTGTAGAAGAAGACGAGTCAGCATTAAAGAGAAGCGAGCTCGTTAACTGGTACTTGAAGGAAATCGAATCAGAGATAGACTCTGAAGAAGAACTTATAAATAAAAAAAGAATCATAGAGAAAGTCATTCATCGACTCACACACTATGTAAGTGCAGAAATGCGCTTGCTGTGGTATCGGGGAGGGAGTTCATGCCCTGTGACTGTAGGTTCACTAGTGAAATTTTTTTTAACCTTTGTTTGTTGTGAATCATTGGAGTGTAGTCAGAAGTATGAGTTGTAAAACAGGGGAGAATTAACAGCAGGTAAATGATTTATTTCCTCTGCTGAAACCAGCAGAATTGAGGTTAAATCTTGGAAAGTGGGATTAAGGTCTTACTAGTTGGGTGTTTTAAGCTTCTGTTTTCCACCCTCATATTCGCCCTTGGTAATACTGTCACCTACTTTCTATGCTTCATTTTCCTCACATCTTTAGTTCCTAGTTCCCACCTTGCCCAACCCAATAGTCACTCTTCCTTACACTTTGAGTTTTTTGTGTCTTACTTGCTTGGCAAAAACCTCAAACTTAGTTAAATAAAGCCTCTTTTTTTTTTTTTTTTTTTTCCTCTGTAGTACCTTTATCTAAGCAGCTAAAAGTATCTGGAGAAAAGCATACAATTGTGAGCCCAGTCTTATTTAAATTGATGACCAGGAATCTCAAGTAGACAGTTCTTAAACTCTCATCAACCTCATGACAGCACTGCCCAGTGCAATTCCTTTTACTTGGTCAGTTCTTTGCCTTAGTCTCTCACAAGACCATCGCATGCCTTCTCTCCACTCCTGTCAGCTGGCTATTCTCAGTACTTAGCCTGTCCACAACTTTGTTACAGTTTATCACTCCTAGAAATACTGTCTTCTTCACTTGGTTCTGAGTTACTATATCCTCCTGGGTCTTTCTCACTGATTTTTCCCTCTTAGTCTCTTTTCCTGAGTCTGTCTTTTTTATTTATTTATTTATTTTGAGACAGAGTTTTGCTCTCATCGTGCAGGCTGGAGTGCAGTGGCACAGTCTTGGCTCACTGCAATCTCTACCTCCCGGGTTCTAGCGATTCTCCTGTCTCAGCCTTTCAAGTAGCTGGAATTACAGGCGCCCACCACCATGCCTGGTTAATTTTTGTGTTTTTTTAGTAGAGACAGGGTTTTGCCATGTTGGCCAGGCTGGTCTAGAACTCCTGACCTCAGGTGATCCGCCCACCTGGGCCTCCCAAAGGGCTGGGATTAACAACCATGAGCCACCATGTCCAGCCTGAATCTTTCTTTTCTTACTTTACTCTCAGATCATTTACATTCATTACCTAAGTGATCTTACTTGGTTTTATGAATTTACCCATCTACTGATGACTTCCACATTTATGTCACCAGCTCTCACCACTCCTCTAAACTCCAGATGGATAGAGCTGGTTGCCTACTGATGAGCTAACAGGCGTCTTGTGCTTAATGTGTCCAAAAACAGAGTTGTTCTTCCCTGTTTGCAATTGAGTTCTTACTCAATTGTGGTAGGTAGGCCAAACGCCTTGGAATTGTCTTTGACTTCTTGGTTCCACTCTCCCCTCGCAACAACTGTTCAGCACCAAATCTTGTGACCCCGGCCTTCAGTGTGTGTGTATTTTCTGTTCTCTTTTTACTGCCCACCCAAGCCACTAGGCCTGGACTGTTGGAGGAGCCTCATCATTATCCTTTTTTTTGTATTGTTTTCCTGCTCAGCAGCCAGATAGGTCTTTTTAAAATATAAATCACATTATTTTACTACCCTCCCTTCCAGTGCATCTCTCACATTAGAATGAAATCCAGCCTCCTTGTCATGGTCTGCAGAACTTACCCAGTAAACCCTGTCTGCCTTATTCACTTCATCTCACAGTGGTCATCCCCTTGCCCATCCCACCCCAGTGACACTGACCTTGTTCCCTAGACACACCAAACATGAGGGCCATTGCACTCACCCTTTGTCTGTTTCCTTAGATATCCTCCTCCTCTCCAATGTCTACTCAAATGTTACCTCTTCAAAGAAGCCTTTCTTGCCTAGCCTGTCAAAACAGCAGCCTTCTGCTCTTGCTGTCACCCTGCCTTGTATTTCTTCATAATGTTTAACATGGCCCAGAAGATATTCTTTATTTAAGTCTGTAGTTTGTCTCTCTTACAGCATATAAGCTCTGTAAGGTAGAGACTTGGCCCAGGAGCCTACGGTGGTGCCTGGCACATAGCAGGATCAAATATAAGTTGAATGACTGAATTTTCTTATTACATGGCAGAGATTTAACCTTTGTGCCAATTCAGTTCACAGTGCTCACTACATAAATATTACAGAGGTCACGTATTAAGGTTGTGTCTTCTGAAAAACCGTTTTCCTATGAAAGTATATCAGTATGTGATTATTGGAGGGTAGGGAGATGTGAGAACAGCTACTCCAGAGTTGCTTTTCTAGTGGTAGGACATGCCTGTGTGCTCCTTGGGATCCATGTAAGGTAAAATGACCCAGGCAAGGAATCTACTTCAGGACTTTGGAACACACTGTTAATCTAACTGATCTAAACTTTGATTACCTTTTTATTTATTTAATTTTTGAGATGGAGCCTTGCTCTGTCACCCAGGCTAGAGTGCAGTGGTATGATCTTGGTTCCCTAATCCCTGCAACTTCCGCCTCTTGGGTTCAAGCGATTCTCCTATCTCAGCCTCCAGAGTAGCTGGGATTACAGGTGCCTGCCACCACACCCCGCTAACTTTTGTATTTTTAGTAGAGATGGAGTTTCGCCATGTTTGGCCAGGCTGGTTTCAAACTCCTGACCTCAGGTGATCCACCCGCCTCAGCCTCCCAAAGCGCTGGGATTACAGCTGTGAGCCATTGTGCCCGGCCTGGACTACCTTTTTAAATTTGGCTTACCACCTGAAGTAATTTGCTACAGAAAACCAGAGAGCTTACTTACACCGTGCTGATTACATATGCTTCCTGTGAAGGTATGTTAGCACATTGAGTGAGTGCTTGAAAGTGTCCAATCCAACTGCAGGGGTAGATTAGAGAGGGTGATTATTTTGTTTGTTTGTTTGTTTTGTTTTAAGATGGAGTTTCAGTCTTGTCCAGGCTGGAATGCAATGGTGGGATCTCAACTCACTGCAACCTCCACCTCCCAGGTTCAAGCAATCCTCCTGACTTGGCCTCCTGTGTAGCTGGGATTACAGGCACTTGCCACTATGCCAGCAAATTTTAAGTAGAGATGGGATTTCACTATGTTGGCCAGGCTGGTCTCAAACTCCTGACCTCAGGCAGTCCACCCGCCTCAGCCACCCGAAGTACCTGGATTACAAATGTGAGCCACCATGCCCAGCTAGGACAATTTTTTTAAAAGTGTCCAACCCCCCTTAGTGGCATCAATGTTTATACTATGGAGCACACTTTTAAGGATCAAATCACAATTTCCTGAGTTCCTTTCTATGGGCTTGGCTAGGAGCTCTTCTCATTTATGAACCTTTTTTACTGACCTATGATTATATCATGGTCTTAAAATCTATCATCAGGATTTTAAGCCAGATGACATGTTCTGCCTTTTTTTATTAGCTCAGTGAAAATTTTTCTACATGAATTTTCTTCGTAGATTGTTTTCCTAACTCTATGAAATGGTGGTATATGAAATGTTCAGTGGTCAGTAATTAAAAATTGCCAAATGATATTACGTATGAAACAGACTTCTAATTTGTTAGAAGATTTTGCAGAATTGTATAACCTTAAAATTCAAGCATTACTTCCTTGTTTGAAGTTATATTTATTAGCATTTGATGTAATGTGCCAGGAACCCTTATTAAAATCACATCTGTTAAGCTTACTTAAGTACTTCTTAATTTTCCACAAGGGGTTTATGGTATCAAAACTCAGCATCCTGATAGGAACAGGGTTTAGCAGAGCACTAATAGTGATATTTAAAATATCGTCCTTTTCCTAGGAATTTCTAGTTAGGAAATGAAAGAAAATGTTGATAGTAAACTGTCAGAAGAAGGATCAAGTCTTATATATCTGGACATTTGTATAATACTGCTTGAAATCTAAAGACAAATATTTGTGTTTCATAGGATCATGTTCTAATTGAGCTCACCCAGGCTGGATTGAAAGGCTCCACAGAGGGAAGTGAGAGCTATGAAGAAGATCCCTACTTGGTAGTTAACCCTAATTACTTGCTGGAAGATTGAGATAGTGAAAGTGACTGATCAGAGCTGAGGAACTGTGGCACACCACCTCCTGGCTGGAGCTCTGGTAGGGACAGAAATGCTTCTGGAAGTGATGCTTCAAGATTTGTTTTCAGAAACAAGAACTGAGCTGATGGTCCTGTGTGTCACATTCGTCACAAGCTTTTATACCAACACAGGCTTCAGCACTTCCTTTGGTGTGTTTCCTGTCCCAGTGAAGTTGGAACCAAATAATGTGTGGTCTCTATAAACAATACCTTTGTTTTGTTTTCATGTATAGGAAAAGGCCCATTACTTTTAGGGTATGTGCTGTCTTACCGAGCAAATAGCTTTTTTAATTGCCAGCTACTGCTTTTATTCATCATAATACAGTAACTTTTTCTGAAGTTGTCTATTGGATTTCTTTCTACTGTACCATGATTATTGCTTCCATCTACTTGTGAATGTGAGTGTTTCCTTTGTTGCTTAATCTGGAGTGAAGGGGTAGAACTGTGGCATTATGGATTAGGTTTCTATGAGAAGGAGGCATTAAATAATTCATATGAAAACTAGAGGCCTTAACGATAACTTTCCAAGGTTAATTCCAGTTTTTTTTTTAATGTTTATAAAAATTAGAAGTTTATTATACTTTTTAAAATTACTCTTTAATAATTTCATTTACTTCTGTGTCCTAAGGTTAATTTCTCAGGATTGTTTTCAAATTGCTTTTTTAGGGGAAATAGGGCATTTACTATATTACAAGCTGTCCCCAAATTTTATGATCTCCTTCCAGGAAAAATTATAACCATTTATGATACTAACAGTTCCTGAGACTTAGCTATGATCAGTATGTTCATGATGGAGCAGTTCCTTATGTTGCAGCTTTTAACAACAGATGGCATTCTGGTGCCTGCAGGGCCAATTAGGGAAATGTGGTAGTTCTGTGTTCTGTATGGTAAGCTTATAAATAGTAACTTTAATTTCTGCTGACTTAAAAAGGATGGGGCGAGATGAGGGGGCCTGGAAATAGATAGAGAAGTTACATAGCAGATGCAGGGTATAAGCTCCTGTCAAGCATGGGTTTTTTTGGTGTGTTTTTTGTTTTTTGTTTTTTTGTTTTTTTGAGACAGAGTCTCGCTCTGTTGCCAGGCTGAAGTCCAATGGCGCGATCTCGGCTCACTGCAGCTTACAACTCCCTGGTTTAAGCTATTCTCTTGCCTCAGCCTCTCAAGTAGCTGGGATTACAGGCATGCACCACCATGTCCAGCTAATTTTTTTATTTTTAGGAGAGACAGAGTTTCACCATGTTGGCCAGTATGGTCTCCATCTCCTGGCCTCGTGTGCCACCTGCCTTGGCCTGCCAAAGTACTGGGATTACAGGTGTGAGCCACTGAGCCCAGCCTGTCAAGTATGTTTTTAATAAGGATGGGAGGGTCCTTGACAATGGGTTGAGGAAAGTTATGGGTGCAGGACCTCAGACTTACTGTTGGGGGAGTGATAAGTACTAGCATAAGTACAAACAACAGGCCAGACATTGTAGTGAAAATTTAGGAGACATCAAGAAACAGCCCTCTCCCACTTGTATTAGGGGGAGCATCTCCCTGTACTGACTTTATAAGGAAAGTGCGGTGCAGATTGAAAAAATATTAACTGGAAGTTGAACTTTAATTTGACTATTTACTAAAGGAAACTTTAAGTTCAGGGAAGATACATTCATTTTTGGCAAATGTATCCACTCCCAATTGCCATTAATGAGAGTGGGGGCTCCAGAACAAGGTGAGGTCATTACTGCAAATCCCCTTTTTCCATATCTGAGTATGTGTGCTTATGTTTCCACACATTGAGCTTCATGTGGTACTTGTCAGGGAGATAAAGTGGTTAATGAATAATGGATCATACATGAGACCTTTGTGAAGAAAATTAGACAAGTATTTAAAATAAGTGGATAGACATTCTGTAATGGAAGGATTTGAATACCATAAATTGTCAACTGATCTATTAATGCTTTTTTTTTTTTTTTTTTTTTGAGATAGAGTCTTGTTTTGTCGCCAGGCCAGAGTGCAGTGGCGCAATGTTGGCTCACTGCAACCTCCGCCTCCTGAGTAGCTGGGACTGCAGGCGTGAGCCACCACGCCCAGCTAATTTTTGTATTTTTTTAGTAGAGACAGGGTTTCACCATGTTGGCTAGGATAATCGTGATCTCTTGACCTCGTGATCTGCCCGCCTCAGCTTCCCAAAGTGCTGGGATTACAGGCATGAGCCACCACGCCTGGCCTGTTAACTCATTTTTAACCAAATCCCAACAGATGCTCATCAGTAAGGAAATTAGTACATAAACTGTGGTACAGCTACACTGTGGGATACCCACAAACAAAACTGAAGTAGACCTAGATGTTTTGAAATTGAAGTATCTCTAGGACACATGGAAAAGAAAATGTGCAAATACAGCCAAAATGATTCGGGGAAAAGAATGATAGAAGAGGCCTTGCCCTACCCGAAAGCAAAAAGTGCTGCACAAGTGTAGAAATTAAGATAGTATGTGATTGGCATGTGAACAGATAAATCAGTCGCAACAGTAAAAAGTTCAGAAACATCTGTGCTTATATAGTCTTTCCATTTCTGATAAAGTGACATTTCAAATGTTAGAGGAAGCATAGCCTATTCAATGATGTTAGAAATTAGCCTGCCACACAGCATACCCAAAGTTAAAATTCAAGATGGGTTAGAGATTTAAAGATAAAAAGTGAGCACACATGCAGTTAGATATTTAATAGCAGGTATAAGTGCTAATGTTTGATAGCATAATAGGATGACTAGTTAGCAATAGCATGTTGTATATTTCAAAGTAGCTGGAAGAGAGAACTTGAAATGTTCCAGCACATAGAAATGATAAATATTCAAGGTGATAGGTACCCAAAATACCCTGATTTGATCATTACACATTCTGTACACACAACAAAATATCACATATATCCTATAAATACGTAAAACGCCTCAATTTTAAAAAGGGAATTTGAAAAAGAAAAAACTATAGGAAGTCAATCATGCTTTCCGTGAACTTCTTCCCTCCCTCTTTTCTGCCACTCTAAAGCTGTGCGGTCCTACTGTGCAAGGGTCTTAATCCTGCCAAATACAAAAAGGCATATTTGTTATTGAAAAAATACTCTTCCATAGATTACCATTTTGTGTCTAAATATATTTTGAAAAGAAGTTGTTGGGAGTGTTTTATAGTGTCATTAGTGTCAGGAACTGGCTCTTTTTTTTTTTTTTTTTTTTCCTGAGATGGAGTTTCGCTCTTGTTGCCTAGCCTGGAGTGCAGTGGGACGATCTCAGCTCACTGCAACCTCCACCCCCAGGTTCAAGTGATTCTCCTGCTACAGCCTCCCAAGTAGCTGCAATTACGGCATGCACCACCACGCCCGGCTAATTTTGGATTTTTAGTAGAGATGGGGTTTCTCCATGTTGATCAGGCTGGTCTCAAACTCCTGACCTCAAGTGATGTGCGCATCTCGGTCTCCCAAAGTGCTGGGATTACAGGCGTGAGCCACTGCTCCCAGCCAGGAACTGGCATTTTTAAAATTGTGCCTGTAATGAAGATCCATTAAATCACAAAATATGTTAAAAAGGTCACAAAAGTAAAATATTTTCTAAGTCTAAGATCCATGTGGGACAGTCTAATACTGGTAAGTACTCAACTTGCCTTGATCTCTGAGCTTTGCAGTGCAATGTGAATTTGAACAGCCACAAATCTATTAGTAGAAAACAAGATAAATTATAGGTTAAAACAATGGTTTGAACACATTTCTCCTAATAATGACCTTTTCCTGGGATCAACTTGTATGAAACCTTGTCAAAATGTACTCCACAATATGTATAATTATTATGTATTTTAAAAATGAAAACATGACAAATATTAAAACAAGAATGAATACTCAAGCAAATTTGTCACGGGATTTTTAAAAAAAGATGGTAACAGGTAATGTATCTTTAAAGACACTAAAGACTGCTCTGCCGATGTAGTCACCATTTTTTTATTCCTTTACTTTCCTAATAGGCCTGCTTTCACTTAAGAAAAACAAGGCTGGGCACGGTGGTTCATGCCTGTAAACCCAGCACTTTGAGAGGCCAAGGCAGGTGGATCACCTGAGGTCAGGAGTTTGAGACAAGCCTGCCCAACATGGAGAAAACCCATCTCTACTAAAAATATAAAAATTAGCCAGGCAGGGTGGCAGGCACCTGTAATCCCAGCTACTTGGGAGGCTGACGCAGGAAAATTGCTTGAACCTGGGAGGTAGAGATTGCAGTGAGACGAGATCATGACAGTGTCCTCCAGCCTGGGTAATAGAGCGAGACTGTGTCTCAAAAAGATTCCTGGGCTTAACCCTCTACAGTCTATGGAAAGTAATGGGAATCTATTTAAAAAAAAAGACACTCTAAACCAAATTAAAAGATGGTCTTTCTACCTTGTTTTCATATGTGATATCCAGACTGTTAAGAATTTTTATATCAGTAATAAGATAAAAATGGAGAAAGGATATTAATATAAATCTCAAAAGAAAAATAAATGCCCAATTAACATGAAGAGCTTCACTTAACCTCTTAAGTAATCAAAAAAAGAAAAAGACATAATATTTACTTGAAAGTATCAAAAATGTAAAGTTTTATAATAGGCATTAGCAAGGCAGACAGATTCAGGCACACTTCTAAATATATGTAGGATTTATATTTGAAGAAGACTAACTTGGAAGCCAATTTGCATTTCATTCAATCAAAAACAATTTTTTTGAGACACAATCTCCCTATGTTGCCCAGACTGGCCTCAAGGCCCTGGCCTCAAGCAGTCCTTCAGTCTCAGCCTCCAAAAGTACTGGCAAAACAGGCATGAGCAACCATGCTCAGCCTATATATAAGAATGTTCATTTGCAGCGTTATTTGCAACACAGAAATTTAAAACCAACTAAAGTGTTTAATATGCAAGATGTTAATTTATGGTACAGTCGTGCTGTGGAAAGCTGTGTATCTGTTATAGGTGGGTTTATATGTTCTAATACAGGCAGAGCTCTAAGCTATTAAGGGAAGAAAAGAAAGCTGAAAAATAAAACATGGCGTGATTCCATGTATGTTAAATTGTTTTATATTTTAAATGTAATGCACGTTTCCATTTGTGTATATGTAATAAGAGTCCCTGAGCTGTACTGTTCTAAACATGCTACAAGAGTGACCGACCCATTTAATCTCCACAGCCGATTGTGAATTATCCCCATTCTACAGGTGACAAATAGAGGCACAGAGTTAAGTAATTTTTGTCAGATGAGATTTAAATCCAGGCGTTTTGACTTCTGGATAACCATTAAGATATGCAGAGAAAGAAAACTGGAAGGATACATATTGTTGAAGATACTTATCCTAGGAAGAGGAGGAAGGTAGGTAAAGGAATTTGCAAGTTTTTCATAGATGTTTCTGTATTGTTTGACTTGCTTACCAAATATGTTCAGCATATTTTTAAAGGGAGAAAATTTTGGGCAAAAGATTTATTTTTGTTCTATTATGTAAACAAATTTTAAAATAATTTGTGGCTGGGTGTGGTGGCTCATACCTGTAATCCCAACACTTTGGGAGGCTGAGGCAACAGGATAACTTGAGCCCAGGAGTTGGAGACCAGCCTGGGAGACATGGCAAAACCCCATCTCTACTAAAAATACAAAAAATTAGCTGGGCATGGTGGCACATACCTACGGTCCCACCTACCCAGGACGCCGAGATGGGAGGATTGCTTGAGTCCAGGAAGTCAAGACTGCAGAGAGCTGTGATCGCACCACTGTAATACCTGGGCAACAAAGTGAGGCCGTCACCCCCCCAAAAAAACTTTTAAGATAAAAATTTCATAACTTTTGTCTTCAGACATTTCCAGTTTCTCTGCTTAAATTATATAGGAAGTTTGAGGGTTTTGTGTTATCTCTTATGATCTTTACATTTTTAAATGCATTAGTGAACTGTGCACTGATTTTGTGACCATAGATAACTCAGTTAAATATTAAGTCAATAATCACTAAGTAATTTACAACCTCAGTCATAGTTATAAAGTAAGGGTTCTACATACCTCCTAACAGTTCCTAGAACATGGAGCTGTTGTGGCATGTAGTCTTTATTGTCCTGCTAAGTTTTTCATGCTGGGGGTCGGACTGGGAGTCTGATAGAAATTTCATTTCCGCTGCTGGTCCTCTAACCAATGACTTGCTGAACAACCTCAGTGGTCCCCTGGGAGACCAGAGTTCTAACTTTGTAGCAGGAGACAAAGACATTTATCTTTGTCACCAGCCACTGCCCACTTTCCTGCCAGAATACTTCAGCAGTCTTCATGCCAGTAAGATCACCCATTATAAGGTATTTCTGTCGTGGGCACAGCTCCTCCCAGCGGGAAGCACCCAAAATCCCGACGAGAAAACAGTGCAGTGCTATCGGCGACTCCTGGAGGCCCTCAAGACCGCGCAGCTTCAGCCCATGGTCGTCCTGCACCACCAGACCCTCCCTGCCAGCACCCTCCAGAGAACCGAAGTATTCACTGACCTCTTTGCTGACTATGCTGCATTCGCCTTTAACTCCTTCGGGGACCTAGTTGGGATCTGGTTCACCTTTAGTGACCTGGAGGAAGTGATCAAGGAGCTTCCCCACCAGAAATCAAGAGCATCACGGCTCCAGACCCTCAGTGATGCCCACAGAAAAGCCTTTGAGATTTACCATGAAAACTATGCTTCTCAAGGTGAGTACACATTGACCCTGATGGTGACCCCTTGGCAGCCTTCATCACACACTTTTCCCACCCTCCTTAAAGCAGGATTCAGCGTTTCTCCCCACTCACCTGCAGCAGTTCTCTCATGTCTGTGAATTAGGGAGAAATTAATATTTATTGATTTCCCAATGGAGATTGGAAGGGGGTAGCTTACAAAGCATAGCTCAGCATTTCCTTTGAAAAATATCTCTGAGCCCAGGCACAGTGGCTCACGCCTGTGATCCCAGCACTTTGGGAGGCTGAGGCAGGCAGATCACTTGAGGTCAGCAGTTCAAGACCAGCCTAGCCAATATGGCAAAACCCCATCTCTACTTAAAAATTAGCCAGGGATGGTGGCAGGCACCTGTAATCGCAGCTACTCAAGAGGCTGAGGCAGGGGAATCACTTGAACCCAGGAGGCAGACGTCGCAGTGAGCTGATACCGTGCCACTGCACTCTAGCCTGGGAAACAGAGCAAGACACCATATAAAAAAAAAAAGAAAATGTGTATATATATATATCTCTCTCTTAAACACCTCTTGCCCAGTCTTGAGTTGTGCAAGCACTGATTTTCTTACTGTCCTCCTTTCTGTCTATGTCCTGCTGCCTGACTCCAAGTCTTCATGGCTGCCTGTCCTTCCCCCTTGGCTCCCCTTTACTTTACTTTTCCCCATTACATGTCTTAGTTGGAATTCACATTCCAGCTTGGGAGACAGACAAATACAAGATGAAACAATGATACACCACAGGATGAGGAGAGCACAACTGTAAGTGTTCACATTCCTGCCTCCTAGGGGCCTTGAAGTTCTGATTCAGTAGCCTAAGCCGATCCAGGACATTGTGATTTGAATCAATTCCTTAAGTGTATGTTAGGTACACCAATTTTGAGAACCAATTTTCGATTATATATGCTTTCTTGTTTTTATTATATACTGTATATGTAATATTTGTGTATATAGTACCTGATATATATACATACTTCTATGTATTGCTTTTTCAATTTAACATATTTTATGACTATATTCTCCTTTTATTAAAAGGTGTGGTGGCAGGCCGGGCGCGGTGGCTCAAGCCTGTAATCCCAGCACTTTGGGAGGCCGAGGCGGGTGGATCACGAGGTCAAGAGATCGAGACCATCCTGGTCAGCACGGTGAAACCCCGTCTCTACTAAAAATACAAAAAATTAGCTGGGTGTGGTGGCTCATGCCTATAATCCCAGCACTTTAGGAGGCCGAGGCAGGAGAATTGCTTGAGGCCAGGAGTTGGAGACCAGCCTGGGCAACATAGCGAGCCACCATCTCTAAAATAATAATAATAATTTTAAAATAATTTAAAACTCCAGTGGTGGAATAGTATTGCTTAAAACAAAAAGTTGAAAGCATAATTTTCAATGGTCTTATAGGTTCCCATTGTATAAATGGAATATGAAGTTTTAAATATTTTCCTTATTTTTGTATGTTTATTCTAATTTTCACTAGTTACAAGTTATGTTACAATGACCTTGGCTCATTGCAGCCTCTACTGCCTGGGTTCAAGGAATTCTCCCACCTCAGCCTCCCTTGTAGCTGGGATTACACACACGCACGCACACACACAACACTATGCCTGGCTAATTTTTGTGATTTTTTTTTTTTTTGTAGAGATGGGGTTTTGCCATGTTGGTCAGGCTGGTCTCGAATTCCTGTCTATAAACTATTTCCCACCTTCTGAATTCTTTCTGACAGATTCTTAGAATTGAAACTACTAGGTGAAAAGATTTGCATTCTTTAAGATTTTAAAGCATGGTACTAAATTATTTTCCAGAAAAATTGTAATCATTTATTGAACAGTTATAAAATTATTCTTCTGACCTCATTCTGTCAGTTTCAAATGTTATATTTTATTACTAATTTGACAGTTGAAAACTTATTTCCGTCTGTTGTTAATTTGCGTGTATTCTTTTTTTAATTAATTAATTAATTTATTTAATTTTTTAGAGATGGAGTCTCATTCTGTTGCCTGGGCTAGAGTTCAGTGGCAAGATCTCGGCTCACTGCAACTTCTGCCTTCCCGGTTCAAGCAGTTCTTCTGCCTCAGCCTTCCCAGTAGCTGGGATTACAGACACACACCACCACACCCAGCTAATTTTTGTATTAATAGTAGAGACAGAGTTTCACCATGTTGGCCAGGCTGGACTTGAACTCCTGACCTCAGATGATTCGCTCACCTCAGCCTCCCAAAGTGCTGGGATTACAGGCGTGAGCTACCACGCCCAGCCTTAAACATCTTTTTTCTATCTTAAACAATAAAGGAGGATGTCATAGCAGCCTTATTCACAATAGCCAAAAGGTGGATACAGCCCAGATATCCACTGATGAATGAATGGATAAACAAGATGTGGCATAGACATAAATTAGAATATTACTCCACCTTCATTAAAAAGGGAAGAAGTCTTGTCACATGCTACAGCATGGATGAACCTTCAGGACATTATGCTATGTGAAATAAGCCAGGCACAAAACGATAAACGTTATGTGATTCCGCATATAGGAAGAACCTAGAGCAGTGGAATTCATGGAGACAGAAAGGAGAATGGCAGGGGCTAGGGTAAGGGAGAGAAGGAGAGCTGTTTAATGGGGATAGAGTTTCTGTTCTGAAGATGAAAATACTCTGGAGATTGGTTGTACAATGATGTGTATATACTTAATAATACTGAACTGTACACTTAAAAATGGTTAAGATAGTACTTTTTCTGTTATGTGTATTTTACCAAGATTTTTTTTAAGGCAGGGTAAGGGAAGAAAGTGTGAAGGTGGCTTGGAGTGTTTTAGACAGAGTTGCCAGGAAGGCTGTTACTGGGCCACCTTTTGGGCAGTTGGGAATGCAGGGAGGGAAAGAGCTCCAGATGTGGAGGGAAGGGGCCCAGGCTGAGGGAAAGCAGAGCTCTGGACATGCAGACAGTTTCCTCAACCTAGGAGCACCATTAAGAACCACTGCGCTCTTGGGGCAGGTCAGCAAATAAACACAGAGATGTGTGTTGGCTTCAATCCTACTGAAGAAGCTCTGGGTAAAAGAAACTTTGAAGGAATGAGGCCAGGCACAGTGACTCCTGTCTGTAACCCCAGGGCTTTGAGAGGCCAAGGCGGGCAGATTGTTTGAGCTCGTGAGTTCAAACCAGCCTGACCAACATGGCAAAACCCCATCTCTACAAAAATATAATCACAAAAATTAGCCAGCCGTGGTGGGGTGCGTGTGTAATCCCAGCTACAAAGGAGGCTGAGGTGGGAGAATTGCTTGAACCCAGGCAGCAGAGGCTGCAATGAGCCAAGGTCACACCACTGCACTTCACCCTAGGTGACAGAGCCATACCCTGTCTCAAAAAAAAAAAAGAAAAGAAAAAAGGATGAAAGACTACAGAAGCAGCAGGACTGAAAAAATAATAGTAATAAAAAGAAACAAGGAAAGACAATATCATCCCAAATAAAGAAAAATCTTATTTTGAGGGTAGATTCCATAAAACTTTTTAAATTATAAGACTATATTTACATGTTTATTTAAATGTTTTCCATATTTTATTTTTACTTTCCATTAGGTGACCAAAGACTTTGTTTTTAAACTCATGTCTTCCTTCTTCTCTTCTGCTTGTTTCTCCTACTCTTCATTTTGTGTTTCCCCAAGTATCTGTCCCCCGTATCATGTAAGACACTGAATAAATTCTGTTTTTCAGTCTCCTTACTATTCTAAAAAGTGGTTTTTCTTCTCTCTTTCTCCCTCATTTTCATTTTTCTTTGAAGTCCAATCCTATAGACTTACTGTTCTTTTAAAAATGTGTTATTTAAGATATACCAAAAATGTCATATATCATAGGTTGGTTGAAAGTAAAAAAAAAAAAAATACTGTAAGAAATGCCAGTGGCCAGGCTCAGTGGTTCACGCTTGTAATCCTAGCACTTTAGGAGGCTGAAGTGGGTGGATCACCAGGTCAGAAGTTTGAGACCAGCCTGACCATCGTGATGAAACACCATCTCGACTAAAAATACAAAAATTTGCTGGGCATGGCAGTGCGCACCTGTAATCCTAGCTACTCGGGAGGCTGAGGCATGAGAATTGCTTGAACCCTGGAGGCGGAGGTTGCAGTGAGCCAAAATCGTGCCACTGCACTCCAGCCTGGGTGACAGAGAGACTCTGTCAAAAAAAACAAAAGAAATTCCAATGAACCAACTACTCAATGCCAGCAATTAAATATAACAGAATACCACTTCATACCAATGAGGAGGGCTGTAATTAAAAAGACAAACAGTGACAGTGCTTGTGACGCTGTGGAGTGAATGGAACCTGCAGACACTGCTGGGGCCATGAAAACAGTGCAGCTGCTTTGGAAAACCGTCTAGCACGTCCTCAAAAAGTTAAACTTCAGAGTTAACATTTGGCTTAACAATTCCTCTTCTAGATATACATCCAGGTGAAATGAATAAATGTCCAGATAAAAATGTGTACACAAACATTCATAGCAGTGTTACTCATAAAAATCAAAAGTGGAAACACCCTAATGTCCATCAGCTGATGGATAAAGAAAATGTAATATTAATATATCCATACAATGGAATATTACTCAGCCATAAATAGATGTGAGGTTTTTGTTTTTTGTTGTTTTTTTTTTTGAGACACAGTCTCATTCTGTTGCCCAAGCTGGAGTGCAGAGGCGTGATCTTGGCTCACTGCAACCTCTGCCTCCTGAGTTAAATCAATGCTCCTGCCCCAGCCTCCCACGTAGCTGGCCCTACAGGCATGTGCCACCACGCCTGGCTAATTTTTTTGTGTTTTTGGTAGAGACGAGGTTTTACCATGTTGGTCAGGCTTGTCTCAAACTCCTGACCTCAAGTGATCCTCCTGCGTCGGCCTCCCAAAGTGCTGGGATTACAGGTGTGAGCCACTGTGCCTGGCCAGAAAAAAGTTCTTATATATGCTACAACATAGATGAATCTTGAAAACATGCTAGTGAAAGCGGCCAGTCACAACCACATATTTCTCCATTTACAATAAATATCCCCAATAGGCAAATGTATAGAGACGCTAAAGATTAGCTGTTTAGTCTGCAGATGTGGTGATGGTCTAAAGTCTGGAAATCTGTGAAAGATGAAATGGATCCATGGGGCACAGTCATTAAATAACTGGGAAACAACGTTATCTTATCACAATGAGAACCAAATGTCTCCGAGTGATATTCCATGCTCAGAAGGATTTCAAAGTTTTATTATGCTTATCAAAATAAGCACTATTGTAGTTGGTAATGGTTGTTGGTGGTAGTTTCATTGGCCAGGGATATATCTTCCTCCTGTAGAGAATTTGGATGAAATAGAGAAGACAGCCAATAGTCCTATTGTTAAAATCTGAAACTCCAGTTTTATTCCATTTTTGTTTCGTGTTTCCAAATCACAGGTCTGAGCACTTTCTATGCACCCAGTCCTAAGCTTCATACTTGGAGGGATTAAATAAATGTTTAAGTTTTACTCCTCAAGGAACATCCAATGTGGGTTGAACATTTATATCCATTGGATAGCAACACAGAATGGCTGAGCCATCCCAGCACCATAGCAGTGTTTCTCAAATTACGATCTGAGGACCATTATATGGGAATCACCCAAGAAGTGTGTTAAAATGCATATGCCTGGGTCTACTCTACTCTACTGACTCAGAATCTCTGAGGGCAGGGCCTGAAATTGGCATTTTTTTTTTCCTTTTTGAGACAAGAGTCTCACTCTGTTGCCCAGGCTGGAGTGCACTGATGCAGTATAGTCTCACTGCAACCTCTGCCTCCTGAATTCAAGCAATTCTCCTGCCTCAGCCTCCCAAGTAGCTGGGATTACAGGTGCACACCAACACACTGAGCTAATTTTTGTATTTTTAGTAGAGATGGGGTTTCACTATGTTGGCCAGGCTGGGCTTGAACTCCTAACCTCAAGCGATTCAACCAGCTCAGCCTCCCAGAGTGCTGGTGTAGGCCACCGCGCCTGGCCTGAAATTGGCATTTTAACAGTCTCCACAGGTGATTATGATGCACACAACAGTTTGAGAACCACTGTTACGTCATCTAACGTCAAAGCTATGTCAAAGCATGTGGTACAAGCCACACATGCTTATATTTCCTTCTATCCCCCGTCAATGTTCAGTAGGGGCTATACTGATGTTTTACCATGAATAAGGATCAGGGAACAGCAGTTTCCCAAGAGCACCCAGACTTTAAGAAGAAGTTTAGGAATGGGCGCAGTGGCTCACGCCTGTAATCCCAGCACTTTGGAAGGCCAAGGCAGGAGAAGTGCTTGAGCCCGGGAGTTTGAGATCAACCTGGACAATATAATGATACCATATCTCTATAAAAAATTTAAAAATTAGCCAAGCATGGTAGCACCTGCCTGTAGTCCCAGGTACTCAGGAGGCTGAGGCGAGAGGATCACTTTAGCTTGAAAGGCAGAGACTGCAATGAGCCTAGATTGTGCCACTGCACTCCAGCCTGGGTGAACCGCAAGACCCTGTCTCAAAAAAAAAAAAAAAGTTTAGGAAGGAGTTATCTCCTGGCCAATTTTCCAAGTGCTCTGCATTTCATAGTCCTGATTTTCACAAAACATTCTCTAAAGGAACATTATGGTTATTATTATTATTATTGTTATTTAGAGACAGAGTCTCACTCTCTCACCAGGCACCAGGCTGGAGTGCAGTGTTGTGAACTTTGCTCACTGCAACCTCCGCCTCCCAGCTTCAAGCAATTCTCCTGCCTCGGCCTCCCGAGTAGCTCGGACTACAGGCGCACGCCACCATGCCCAGCTAATTTTTGTATTTTAGTAGAGAAGGAGTTTCACTATGTTGGCCAGAATGGTCTTGATCCCTTGACCTCGTGATCCACCTGCCTCAGCCTCCCAAAGTGCTCGGATTACAGGTGTGAGCCACCACGCCCAGCCTAGGAACATAAATTTAAAAGCCACCTTGTCGGCCGGGCGCGGTGGCTCAAGCCTGTAATCCCAGCACTTTGGGAGGCCGAGGCGGGTGGATCACGAGGTCAAGAGATCGAGACCGTCCTGGTCAACACGGTGAAACCCCGTCTCTACTAAAAATATAAAAAATTAACTGGGCATGGTGGTGCGTGCCTGTAATCCCTGCTACTCAGGAGGCTGAGGCAGGAGAATTGCCTGAACCCTGGAGGCGGAGGTTGCAGTGAGCCGAGATCACGCCATGGCACTCTAGCCTGGGTAACAAGAGGGAAACT